GGGACGCTCGTCCACCCGCCGCCGTTGGCCCGGCAAAAGCCCGCGGCGGACGGCCAGCGCAGGCGCCGCGGCGGTGACTTTGCAGCGCGCCGGGCTGCGGAAAATGCCACCGCCGACTGTCTTTTGCGCGACCGACCGCATCGTCATCATGCCGCAGCCGTCGACGGTGGCCGTGCGTCGTCGCCGCCGAACACACATCGCGACGATATTATTGCGAAGACTGCAGCGAGCGACTCGCGAGAGAAAATTTCGTCAGCCAATAATCGTCCTCTTCGTCTAAAAAGGTAATCGCGTTTGATACGGACGTTTTTTTTTTTCGTTTTTAAATGAACGCCGTAGCTTATATTTTTCGCCCCCCCGCCGAGGCCGAATGGCCGCTAATATAACAAACATGGCCTCTTTTTATTAAACATTTCTAACCCTTTTGTATGTACATATTATAATATATATAATGATGCGATCGTGTACTACATATACGGTATACAGTATATGGTACGCCGTTTCGTGCGTTGTATAATATCACCCTCGATGCGATGATAAATAAAAATAATCTTTTGTGTAGCTGCACGCGCATCGCACTCGTTTTCTCTCTCTCCCGCTATGCCGCCACGGTGACTACTACAGTCCGACCATATGCACCGTGGCCCGCCACACCAACTATTGTTCGCGACGTCCGGCCGAGAGGTTTTTTACTTTTTTTCATTCGTTTTGTTGCAATATAATATTATTTTTCCGTATTATTACACACACACACACACACACATCACGTCGTGCATACGATACCGTCATCATTATAATATCACAATAATAATATTGTCTTTCCGTTTCCAGATGTGTGTCGGACCGCTGCAGATACGATGATGACATACTGCAAGCTGCAGCTTCGTCCGTCCGCCTGTCTGCCTCGTCCGTTCTCATCCGACGCAGAGCTGCAAATGTCTACTCGACGAATAATGCGTGGCACCCTGTACGTATACTAAATGTATCCTGAGTGCATTATAAAACTGTCCGGTATACCTTCAGTATACGTAACAGGGTGCCATACCGATCGTCCAGAAGTTGTCCCGTCACGCGGCCTGTGCAGCATCACTATTCACTACGAAGTCGCCTTTTCGCGTATACAATTAATCTATATTGTTATAATATTTGTCGGGTGTTACCGTAAATACATGCAACATATTAAGATTGTTAAAAAATTATTCACTGCTCATGTATATAAATTTAGTATTTTATTAAAATTGATTAAAATTATTATTATTATACCATCGTGAGAGGTATCTATATACTTACATATTATCTAATATAACGTCTTGATTTCTATAATAATATAAATTATTGTTAATATTGTTTTACTCGGCAAGCCTACTCGATCCATTTGTTAGTTTTTTTATTATTACATTATTTATATCACTATATATGATGTGTAATTCTCTATTTTGAAAAAGAGAAACAATTTATATATTTTATACTCTAGCTATGTTATACTATTGTATGACTGTAATCGGCCGCGAGTTTGTTATCGGAACTGCAAAATAATATACATAAACCTATGACATACGTACATTTTATATTATATTATAATATTAGGTAAATTGTGCATTACACGATCGCGAAACCCGTTTGTCCCTATGAGAAATCACACGACAGTTGTAAATCCATAATGTTTACGATGTTTGTACGATACGAGAAACGTGTAGGTTTATCATTATCATTATTATAAGTATATAGTAGCAGTCATAGTACATATATATAGCGAAGAGTAGGCTTGCGTGATGCGGTCTTATACATATAACAAACACAAATTTCTATAAACGGCGCGTTACAATATTACATACAATACATATTAAATTGCGTAAAATGCATAATTTATAATAATAATAATATATGTGATGCGTCGTATTGCTGATTATATAGATACCTAACAGTTTAAAAGAAAAAAACGCTTTGTAATTTTTTTTTTATGTGTTCGCTCAATCACGATATGAGCGTCGGGCTTACAAATAAAATTGTACGTTTGGGTGGTGTATAAGTTTTTTCAGTCCTGAAATGAAAAATAGTACCTATTATATTATGATCTTATGTTATAACAGAATATCTAGTCACATATGCCCTTGATATATTTATTTTTAAAACTATATTTCGATAAAAACATCAAGTTCTACATMGGTCACGACTTTGATCTAAGAACTTGTGTGTACCTATATGTTATACACTCATATTATAGGGTAAGTCAATACAATAATTTTATATGCAAAAAAATCTTGTGGCGTCACTGCGTAGATCAACGAGTGTGTTTCGAAAATTAGAATCTATGTAATAATGATGAGTTTGAGTAATTCTTAAAGTAATTCATTAGTGTGCTTAGTAAAATAATCGTTATTAAGAAGCATAATAGAACTTATGTACGATCACTATACAAAATTAAAGTCTAAAAACGTTATTAAATATTAATTAAAATGCTCACACGATTAAAAAACATTTTACAGATCATAGATAGATATTATATTGTTGCGTAATATAATATATTAAGAATATAGTGAAGGTCTATAATATAAAATTTTACATGCCATTAGTTGAATTGGTGGTTTGTAATTTGCACCATTGCAGGTAGCCGACAGTAGTGTTTGTAATTAGCACCAAAATAAGGGTATGTAATTTTCACCATTCTCAAGTAGTCAAAAATAGAATTTGTAATTTGCACCAAAATTATTATTTATCTGTTCGATTATCGAATTTTCAATTTTGAAATATTTGATTATTCCTCGATATCTTCGTATTAAAAAAAAAAAAAATGACGCAAATTACTCATGTTGTATATATTTTGGATCAATTTTGGTGCAAATTGACTAAAGCCATTGAATTTAGTGTTGTAGTGGCAATATAAATAGGTAGGTAATCATTATTTTTCGAAACACTTGGAAGACATCGAATTTATAGATAATTGAATAAAATATGTCGCATGCATATACTGAAAGTAAATTAAAGGTGTATCTAATATTGTATATGTGTATATTATATTGGTGGGTACTATAAAGAATAATAAAAATTATTCAAACAAGTTTTCTAAAAATATTATGTTCGTAAATACCTTCTGTAAAATTATTAGTGTGAGAGAAAAATCCATTATTTAACATCAAATAACAATTTTGTAAATACACAAATATCAGTAAATACAAATATTATAATAATATAATATCTTGGTACAGAACGGAGTGGTGTGTATAATATAATAGCTACAATACGTCCACTATTTTAAATTATAATGTATAGTGTTTCCGTATAAATAATTAAATAAATTAAATTGAACACGGGCGGCCTCCATAAACTCGTAATAACTGTTAAGGATTTCTTAACACGTGTGCCTAATAATATATACGAAGACTATACGCTTTAAAATGTTAATAATATTGTAGGTATTGGATGGTTTTTTTCTAGGAATAATAAGATATGAAATATAAATATTATATTTACAACATATAAATAACGGATACCTATATTACAAATTAATAAATCAATTTATTTAATTAAATGTTCTAAACGCTGTCCAACGACCAAAATATTATTACCATTCAATATAATATATAAAACATGGGCACGTTGTGCATATGCTATATGCATTTACATAAATGTACGCATAATAAGTATTACGTGATTTAATCTTAGACCGTTAAGATACTATATACGAGTATTATATTTCTTTATTTCTTGGACGAATATGATTTTGCTTCTCTTTAATCTATAATTATAATATGTAATTAATAATAATGAGATTTTTTAATTCAAGAATAGTAATAAGTAAGGAAATCGTATAACTTTTATTGTATATATAATATGTGGAATCATTGGAGTCGTATATTATGATGTACATTTTATTTGTATAATTGATATATACTAGAATACTACGGTGCCGGTTGCAAGATAGTATATTACAGTCATTCCTATATTAAATTATGACGGTAGATAGTACATATTATGATTCACTCATGGTAATGTGAAATTATATGCTGTTAAATTATAAAAGATACACAAAACATTAATTTTTTGTGCATTTAATAATGCAGTCCATAGAACTATATAAATTATAATTTAACTTTAAAAAAAATTGAGTTATAATATTTGCGTATTTATAGATAGGTACTATCCTATAGCTGTATATAATAAAAATGAATAATACATTTAATACGTATTTCAATAATTTATTGACTGTGTGCTGACTAAATTTTATTTTTGAACAAAATATATTTAAAATGACTATAATATTATTATATGATATACGTTGTTATTTATGGTACTTTTTATTTTATCATAAATAATCCACCTTATACATAAATATTCATAAATTATTCATAATAACGAATAATGATAATTTTGATTTGATGAAACGTATATTATATTTGTACTTATTGTGTAAAAATTAAATATAGGTCCATATTACAATATTCAATAAATAACTATATAAATTGTGAGTAAAATTAGATTTAGATGCCTTATTTAAGTAGTGCATTTATCGTATGATTTTATTTAAATTAAATTAAAGTTGCTTATTTGCTCGTAAAAATATTTTACTAACGAATAAAATGTATTTTTTAATCCTATATAAAAAATAATAATATATGCAGTGGTTTCAGAAATGTTATGATCAACCTTGTGCTTAAATGTCAAAACGCCTTAAAATTCAACTTTATTCAATTTATATCTGAAAATTATTAGTAATTTAAAATACATAAAGAAACAACTGTACCATTGTTTTTATCCACAAAACCGGTCAGAATTAATATTTTTTTTAATCGATTGAAATTTTTATTACAATAAATAACAGATATCTGATGAAGAAATAACGAATAATCAAAATAAAAATAAAAACAGTAGCATATATTAGGAACATTTAATTATAGATAGGTATTTATATATTTATTTATACTATGCTACTATGTTTAGAGGTCGATTTGTATGTATATGAATTATATAGGTAMTTATTAAAATATTATATAATTATTATGGACCTGGTATGGCTTGATGATTGGCATCAGTCACTATAATATGTGATCTGAGGTTAATGCTGGCGCCGCTTAATTCCCGGATAGGTGACCACCTGGGTTTTTAACGAATACTCGCCCCACATATAAGTGTTCCTAAACTCATTATAAAAAACTAATGGCCATATATAGTTGCCAATTCTTAAGGTCAATAAAAAAGTATATTTTATTATTATTATAAAGTTTAGGTATTTACGCGATTTCCAAAACATCTCAAACACTTTGTTCCATATATATATAATTAAAAGTCATATATGTATCTTACTGCAGATGTTCTCGTATTATATACCGTGCACTGTTTACCAATTTCGGGAACACTGAATTTCTCAGCTGGATTATGTTGGAATAAATTAATTTTTTTTTACAAGCTAGTGGTATATAAATACAAATTTTCAGATAAATTTTAAATTTTAAACTTTTTCGGTAGGCGCATGTGCATAGGTAACGCAACTTATTTTTTTAATAGCAACCGGTATTTTTGATATCGAATTCAGATAGACTGAATTTTTTAAAGTCATTTTGAGCAATTAACCATGGCTCTAAAACCAAAATTGACTGAATGAGAGCCATTCAAATTTTAATAGATATATATTTTTACAATTCATTATACAAATTAAAATGCATGACACTATTTATAATTATTTCGTTATGGTTTTATAGTTTTAGTTACTTTTTGAATATTTTTACTTATACAGCTGTATAATCAATTTTAAATTAATAATTTTATATCCATATTATGTAAATCTTATTTATAAAACGAATAAAAAAAAAAAAAACGTAAATATATTCAAAAAGTAACCAATAATAAATAATTTCAAATGGTTTTATGTATTTTATAATGAATAGTAAAGATGTATTATAAAAAAAAAATATGTTGAGTACCGCGAGGGTTAAACATTTGAAATTTATTTGAAAATTTGTATTTATATACCACTAGCTT